TCAGTACCCCAGTATTTTGGTACCAATGAGTCCCTCTTGCAAAAGGGTTTGGATATTGTCTGCAGGTTACACTCCCCACACTCAAGAGCAATGTCATTTGAAAATCCTATTCCTTCCCCCTAGTTCCCCACAGGAAAACTGTTAAACCTAAGAAGCTGTACTCTGTCTAGTTGTCTATGCGTCCTACCTGCTTCCAGTCCATGCCGGTAAGCCTATAGGTACATCGTAAATCCATGCTGTGTGGCTGAGTTCCCCCAAATTATTCTAAATTAGGGACCTTGCTGAATTTCTTCTAAATGACTGAAGAGATTTCTGTGGGTTAAAAGAGTGGACTCTGAACACAAGTTTCTTGGAGGGAAGTCAAGGTTTCTGGTTATTGGACCAGCTGTGAGGGGTGAGGGATAGCGTGGCTGGAAAGTCTGGGTCCAGTTTCCTGGCTCTTCAGCATGCGCCTCAACTATTGCCGACAGGGTTAGCCCATTTGCTCTTCACATTCCCTTGCACTTATTTAAGCGTTCTTTGGGTGAGGGTGGGTCCAATGGAACTTGGAGAGATGGGACTGGAGAAGCCACAAGCGGCTTGTTAGAAGCCCTGCTCTCTGGCCGGAGCCTCTGGTGAGTGTGGGGTGCTGGGAGCTGAGCCTGGGCGGCCCTGGAACCCAGAAGCAAAGGCATGAGGGACAGAGATGTATGTTCAGGACTCTGCACTGCCACTTGCATGCTGCAGCCTCACCTTCTTCACTGGCAAGCAGCTTAACACAAACTTGGGCTGCCTACTTTGCAGAGGGCTGTGTAGAGGCTCCGATGAGCCAGAGAATGAGCTTCACAAAGACTGCCAATAAAGTATGGACAAGTTAGTGTGAGCAAAGAAGATGGCAGTGATAATTTTCAAATTTTCACCTCTAGCCTGCTATGAGGGACAAAAAGCACAACCAAAGATTTGTATGCATACATATTAGCATAACCAATGGATACAGACACTGGAAGGGAGGGCTTGCCCTGGGTGAGAATGCCTGGAGTGGGGGGAGGTCAACTGGGTGGAAAAGAGACATATGTAAAACTTTAGACAATAAAAAAAAAAATGTGCAAAGACAAGGGCCACCAGCTGAGTCTCTGCCAACCCAGAACTTGTTCTGTCCCCAAGTTCTGGTGCCCTAGCGTCACTGAGATTCTTCAGTTTAGAATAGAATAAAGCTCTTCAAGGGGAAAGTTTTGGAGACCTGACTGTCAATTTTATTTAAATTTCCCACCATTCATTATTTTATACTATTTCACAGTTCTTTAAATATGCGAGCTGCTTTCACAACTACTGTATCAGTTATCCTATATTACCCCCATTTACAAGTGAAGAAACTGAAGCTGAGATCTGGTAAATGCAACTTGCACCTGGGGCTTCTGACTTCAAGTCCTATATTCCTGGAAACCACTATTTGGAAAGAAAGAAAGAAAGAGAGAGAGAGAGAGAGAGAGAGAGAGAGAGAGAGAGAGAGAGAGAGAGAGAGAGAGAGGGAAAGGAAAGAAGGGAGGGAGGGAGGGAGGGAGGGAGGGAGGGAGGGAGGGAGGGAGGGAGGAAGAAGGAAGGAAGGAAAAAGGTGGGAGGGATAAGAAAGAAAGAAAGAAAGAAAAGGAAGGAAGGAAGGAAGGAAGGAAGGAAGGAAGGAAGGAAGGAAGGAAGGAAGGAAGGAAGGAAAAAGGTGGGAGGGATAAGAAAGAAAAAGGAAGGAAGGAAGGAAGGAAGGAAGGAAGGAAGGAAGGAAGGAAGGAAGGAAGGAAGGGCGAGCCAAAGAAAAAGGTGGGAGGGATGGGAATAAAAGGGATAGGAAGGAGGAAGAAGAAAGAGTTGGATAGGAGGTCAGGTGAGGAGAGAAGAGGGAAAGGAAGGAAGCAAGAAAGCAGGGAAGGAGGGAACTCATTTAAGAGGAGCAAAAAGCATAATTTAAGCAATACACACCTGAAGAATAAGGCTCAGACAGGTCCATTGCATGCGGGGTGTTCACTGCGCCCTTACTCGTCAAGCGCAGACCAGTCACCCGCTTTCCCTTGCCTGCGGGGACCTCCATCCCATTCCGCTGCGGGTCCAAGCACCCGCAGGACCCAGCACCGCAGCCCTTAAGTCTCGCCCTTCTTGGTTCGGCTGCCTGCGGGTTCACCACGCCGCCGAACTCGGCAGATGAACCTTTGGATCAACAACTAAGGGGCCGCGCTGGTCCTGGGCCCAGCGCTGGCCGGAGCAGGCGTCGGGAATGCCTTGGAAGGCGCCAGCGCAGGTCCTCTGCTCAGCCCTCCACGCCCGAGCTTTGGGGATGTTTGGGCTCTCAGCAGCGCTCCGGAGGATTGAAGGTCTGAAGGCTGCCCTGACCAGAGGCGTCAGTCACATTTGACCTCGAATCCATTAGCGCCGCCCGCACCGGGGCACGCTAGCATAAAGTTGCCCAAGTACATCAACGCACGGGTGCAAAATAACGCAGAGACGAAGGAATGGAACGAGTAAAGAGCCTGGGTTCCAGCATGTGGACAGCTCACACTAGCCAGGACGCGCCGGTACTAGCAACGGGGCTGCTAACCCTGGGGTCCTGGAAAACCCAGGCTCAAACGCTTTCTCCGCAGGAAATGCAAGAAATTAAACGATTGGAAACAACCACCACCACGCGGATCGTCTCTGCCCCCGCCCCCGCTGTTTTCTCCATTTTTGCCTTTTGTCTATGGAATCCAACCTGACTGCTCTGCCCTGCCCAGGGTCTGCGTATCTTCCTAACCCGGTGCCGGACGCGGCCCCACTGCGTGCGCGTCCTGCTCCGGAACCGCGCTGGGAGGGCGCCAGGGGCTGGCGCCGGAGTGGGGATGCCCGCGGCGGCAAGGGGGCGCTGTCCCCTGGAGGCCTCTGACCCTGTGGTGGAGCACTGTCTCCTGCCTGGAGGGCGGTGGGGTTACAAAAGGTGGGAACCAAATTCTCCCCGGGGTCCTCCGCTGCAGCGCCAGTGCCCCTGCCCGGATCCCTCTCCACCCCTCACCCTTCCTATTCCCTAAAGAGCTGCCCTTCCCCGGACGGGCGCGGCCCTCGCTCCTCGCCGTTCCCAGAGCATTCCGGCCTGGGATTTTTCTAAAGGAATTTCTGGCAGAGGGGTCCAACACGGGAAATGGCCTAGGCCTCCCGGGGTAGGGAAACCCGCCTAGACCGCGGACACATTCTCTCCGCAGACCTGCCCCACCCCGCCCCGCTCGGCCCCGGCGCCAGCCAGCCCCACCACCGGGCTCCACCTCGGGCTCCAGGATGCTCTCTGGCTGCAAAGCACCCGCTTTCCAGCTCGCTCTGCGCGGTGCCCTGCGCCCTGGGCTGGTCAGCCCGACTGGGCAGAGCAGCAGGCGGAGGCCTACGGTACTGCTTCTGGCTCCTGGCTGGAAGGGAGAGGAAAATTATTAGCTTTTCATTTTATGCGGAGAGCCCGTTCTCAGATGAAAACTATCAGGGTCTTTAGAGATTAAAATTGTGACTTAAACACCGAGAAGTTGCATCTCTCCGTCGATTTGCCGCGTTGTAGCCGTGGAGGCGGTTCGGACGTGCGTATTGCGCGCAAGGCGCCTGTGAACCCGGTCCCTGCCCGCCGTGCGCTGGGGCATTTCAGCCCGGACTTAGAACCTACCAGCTCTACATCCAGAGTTATCTTAGCATCTGCCATCAAGTATAGAGTGTGAACCTCGCACAGGTTATCTCATCGAGTCTTCACAACAGCCCTGTGAGATCAGTCTTATCATCGTCCTTCTTTTAGGATCGGGAAAGGAGGTTTAGAGAGATACCCGACTTGCTCTGAGTCACATGAGTTAGGTAACCCAGACGTGGAAGGCAGGCCCGGACCCCGACCCCCAGTCCTCCCATGACAAAGCTATACCTTCCTTTTGGGTCGCTTCTGGGGAGCGCCGCGCAGGAGGGGGGCACACACACAGCAAATATTGGTGGATAGAATTCCAGGATCTAGTCAAGCCTTGCGATTGCGGTGTTTTATACAGTAGGGTGTGTCCTCGCCGTATTTACACACTCGTTTCTTCATTCACTTATTTGGTGTGCCAGCGCTGAGGTTAAGAACCAGGGGGAACAGTCCTACCCACAGGACGCAGGGTGACACGGAGATGTCACCCCATGGGAGGTAGGTGGGTGTCAGGACTAGGGGAGCTCAGGGGCTCCAGAGCTGGCGGGAGGAGCAAAGAGAAGATACAAGGAGGGGATTCCTTAAGAGAAGAGCTATCGACAGGGGGGCTGGAGACCCCGCACCGGAGACCACAGTGGGGTGGCGAGGGGGGTGTAAGAAGAGAGAATCAGGTGGCAGGCGGAGTGAGTAAGAACTGAGCGCGAAAGCTTTCCCAGAGCCGGGACGCCTCGGGGACATCGCGGGAGGGAGGGGCTCGCATGGATGCTGCCTAGACCCCATGCGGGATCCAACTCCGGCCCCTGTTAGCCTCTGGTGGCCACCAAAGTCCTCTGGGGGCCCTGGTCATTGCATACGACGTGTGTTCTCTGGAGAACGGTCCCCAAGCTGCTCTGGGAGGTTCATGGTCAATGTCTCTGGCGCCCGGCATTCCCAGGGAAACCTGCTGGCTTCGGTTCTCCGCTGGATCCCACGCCCGAAAGGAGCTGGTGGCGTCTGGCCCGTGGAGGCCGTGGCCAGGGGACCGGCTCTGGCTCCGGCTCCTACTCCAGGGCGAGGTGACCGCGGGCGGTGCCCGCCTCCCTGCTCTGCGGCACCGGAGCCGGGAGCCGGGAGCCGGGAGCCGGAGGCGGCGGGACGGGAGGCGGCCCCGGGCGGCGGGGCGCATGTCCCCGGGAGGGACCAGGGAGGCGGAGGGGCGGGCTGGGGGCGGGCTCGGGGAAGCGGCCCTCCTTTCCTCTCCGGCTCCTGGGCGGCAGGTCGGAGCGGGGACGGGGAGGTCGGGTACTCAGGGAGGGAGGGGGCCGCGCCGAGACGGAGGGAGGGGCCGAGCCGCCGCCTTCAAGAGTCATTGGCGGACGGGACCGCCCGAAGCTGATAAATAAGGGACCGGGCCGCGGCTGCGGGCCAAGTTGGACGCCCCGACCCGTTTGAGGGCCAGGTCCACGCCGGCCCCGCCAGGCGCAACCAGACGACCCCCCGTGCGGCCATGGCCTCGCTTTTGGGGACTTACCCGTGGCCCGAGGGGCTGGAGTGCCCGGCCCTGGAAGCCGAGCTGTCGGACGGGCTGTCGCCGCCGGCCGCCCCCCGCCCGCCGGGGGACAAGGGCTCGGAGAGCCGCATCCGGCGGCCCATGAACGCCTTCATGGTGTGGGCCAAGGACGAGAGGAAACGTCTGGCAGTGCAGAACCCGGACCTGCACAACGCCGAGCTCAGCAAGATGCTGGGTGAGTGCCTGGGCGGGCCGGCGAGCCCGAGGGCGCGGGCAGGGGCGCCGGGGCGAGAGCGCAGAGTGGCCGGACCGGCGGTTGGGGACGCGGGGGGCGCGGTGCCGCCGAGGCTGGGCGTCTGCGCGGCCGTGGGTGTGAGCGCGGGGCCTGGGATCAGAGCAGGGGCACCTCTGCGAGGCCCGAAGAGAAACAGCTTGGCCCTGGGGTGGCCCGGGAGGACAGGAGCGGGTTGGGGGCCCCAGGGTGCTGGCCGGGTGGGGCTGTGTCCTGGTCTGGGTCGCCGCTCCGCGGAGACCCGAGCGCGTACTGAGCGGCCGGGATGGACAGATACTCGGAGATGAGTGGGAACTGGCCTTTGCTAGGGAAGATGGACCCTGAACTTTACCATCCAAGAGAGAGATGGTAACTATTATTAACGAATATTCGTGAAGAGAGACCTTTCGGAACGCATTCCTTCTTTAACTTTATCATTAAAGTCTATGCAAATAGACTCCCTTGGAGACTCCACGTCTCAATGGCAGCCGTTTGGTACATTTGATCCGGACACTCGGGGCGCAGGCGGTGAGGATCTGTCTGTCCGCAGCCTGGCCTGGTCGCTTCCTCCGGGGGGTTGATGCTGTGCAGTCCCAGCAGGGGTGGTGGGACCGGGGGCAGGGATGAGCCGGAGAGAGGATGTTAGGGCAGGTCGGAAAAAGCAGAGTTCCTGTCAGGCTTTCTAGTCTTTCTCCCCTGCCTGGAGCAGAGCACTTTTCAACTCCGCCCTTACCCCTAACCTCCTAACTGGTGGGAACCTTTGGAAACACTTGGTGAGGGGAGCAGACCCCTGGCCCTGAGAGCAGGGACAGCATGTGGTTGTGGGAGGCTGGCCCTGCTCTCCAACCCCACCAGACCCAGAACCAAAAACGCCAGTTTCCCTTTTCCCCTTTTCCGTTGGCGTTTGGGCTTCTTCGGGGTTGGAACCCTGAACTGAGGGCTGACACCCACTTTTCTGCCGGTTAAAGCCACAGGCCCCCAGAGAAGGTCCCTCAGGCAATCTAGATGCCCTTTCAAAGCGGCTGGTTGAGTGGAGGTTTCCAAGAGCCTTCTAACCGCCCAGCCTCCTGGTCAGCCTGCCCAGGACTCGTGAGGGAGCCACGTCTTAGTGAGCCTCTTCTCCGTAAAAAGTGTTTGAAATTGTATTTTACCTGGTTGGCATAAAGACAAAGGTATTGATATACACAACAACACATTTTCTTCAACTTGAAAGTTCATATTGGCCCTCAGATTGCTAAAGAAATGAAAACACTTTTTTTTTTTTTTCATGTGTGGGCCTCTAAAAGGTTTTTTTTGGTAGGCCCTAGATGCTGTTCCCGGATGCCCTGGTGGCAGGGATAGAGCGGGGTTTCTGTTGCAGACCCAGGGCCACAGACGGGAGAAGAACTTGGTCTGGGGAGCGTTACAGGAGTGAGGCTGCCTGCTCCCAGGGAGAGGGCTGGCCAAGGGACCTGGGGGACAAATGCCTCCCATAAGCTGATCTCTGCTCCCTAGTTGCATTTCGGCTTTCAGAGGTTACAGTCCATTTTGCAGGAAAGACACAGATTCCTTCCTGCTTAACCACACAGCCCCTGGCACAGGGGGAGGGAAACCAACCCGGGGTTGCTTTTTCAAACACGGTCTTTCTAATCTGTTCATAGCATGATGGATTTTAACTCCCCTCCCTGCCCCCCACCCCGGGATCTCGCCCAGCCCTTTCCTTTCTGACCTAGGAAAGGAAGAGACTGGATGTGAGAGTCCCAGCTTCCCCCACCTACCCCCCCCCCCCCCAGCTTTCTAATCTGTAACATTGAAAACCTCACCAGGAACACTAGTATTCGGAGTATATTATGAATGAGGAAGTGCATAAAGGCAGCTGTACATTTAGTGACATTTTATTACTACTGCAACCCAGGTACACTTAGAACCTAGAGTCACATTTTATATACTCGTTCCACAGATAGGGTGTGTGTGTGTGTGTGTGTGTGAGAGAGAGAGAGAGAGAGAGAGAGAGAGAGAGAGAGAGAGAGAGAGAGTCTGAATCTTGGGCCTCTTGCAACAACTTTGTGGCCCCGGCCCAGGCTGGGAGTTGCGGACCAGCTCCAAATCCAGAGTTCCTCACACTTTTCACATTGCCCTTTTAAGCGACAGCTAAGGAGATTACCCGATGATGGCCAGCACAGTTATAGACTTTTATCCCAGTGGCAGAACACCTTTAATAATCCTCCTCCTCCCACCCTCTTGGAGGGCCTGGTGTGCAGAGCCAGCCCACAAGGGCACAGGCACCAGCAATGGAGGGCCACACACACAGCTCTACTCCCCCTGGGCAGAGGGCTCCGGGTAGGAGATGTGCCCTTTCCTTACAGGGCTTAGCAGGGCCTGTCCTCCAGGCTAGTAACGGAAACGTCCCGGGGGGACCTGTCCAAGTTGTAGAGCCTGAGTTCACCCTAGGACCGTGGTCGGCAAACTGTGGTTCTCGAGCCACATGTGGCTCTTTGGCCCCTTGAGTGTGGCTCTTCCACAAAATACCCCGGCCTGGGTGAGTCTATTTTGAAGAAGTAGCATTAGAAGAAATTTAAGTTTAAAAAAATTTGACTCTGAAGAGAAATTCCAATCATTGTACTGTTGATATTTGGCTCTGTTGGCTAATGAGTTTGCCGACCCCTGCCCTAGGAGGTAGCAGCCTAGGGGTCCAGCAGTGACCTTCAGAAAACCTGCAGCTGGAGGGATGTGCAATGCACTTAGAAAGACTGAATATAGCCTTTTACAAAACAATACACAAGTGAGGGAGGACGAGTAGGAAACACAAGTGAAACCAGCATTGTAGTCCCAGCATTGGGGTCCATGTGTGCGAAGCTTTTAAAAGAGGGAGTTTTGAGTGGAGTAGTATCACAATGTGTTTTCTAATGAGCAAAATAGAGACCCAGGGAAATTTGCTTCTGTATGGAGTCAGTGGCTGTGCAGGTGCCCCCTGCCAGGGTCAAAGGAAGGAACATGTGTGTGTATGTGTATACATGTGTATGCATGCATATGTGCATTCTGGCCACTGGGTCCTCAGACAACAGGGTCCTACTTGACCTTCAGATGTAAGGGGTAATCATATTACCTTAAGTGGGATCCTCTCATTTAATTCTATCTGAGAAATTATTACTCTACCTGGGCTCCCTTATGGAGAGGCCTGTGAGGTTTATACACTAAGTAAATATTATACTATCACCCTGAGAAACAGCAATAATCCACGAGGGCAGAGGATCTTCACTGAGATGCACAGATAATTAGAATCGGCTCTCCCAGGGTTAAAAGAACCCAAGTCAATGCTGTAGTCCTTATATATTTTTCTCCTGTGGCTGACACTGGCCTTTTGCTGTGAGTCCCACCTGCTTTCCATGTTCATGTTGTGGGATGGTTTTTATAGGGGAGGTGATGTGGAAGTGTGTGTCTTTGGCATGAAGTGGTGTTGCCCGGTGCAGGCGGGGGAGGTTGGTCTGGCCTCACTGTGTACGCAGGACCTGGGCTGGAAGAGGGTGCCCTCACATGTGCCTGGTGCTTGGAGGCAAGGATCTGAGACAGGTGCAGCCGCCACCCGGAGCAGCGTAGATACTGACAGGGCCCTTTTCTGACTTGTGTGAGCAGGAAAGTCTTGGAAGGCGCTGACCCTGTCGCAGAAGAGGCCCTACGTGGACGAGGCGGAGCGGCTGCGGCTGCAGCACATGCAGGACTACCCCAACTACAAGTACCGCCCGCGCAGGAAGAAGCAGGCCAAGCGCCTCTGCAAGCGCGTGGACCCCGGCTTCCTCCTGAGCTCACTGTCCCGGGACCAGAACGCGCTGCCCGACAAGCGGGGCGGCAGCGGCCGGGGGGCGCTGGGGGACAAAGAGGACCGGGGTGAGTACTCCCCGGGCGCCGCCCTGCCCAGCCTCCGGGGCTGCTACCACGAGGGGCCTGCGGGCGGCGGCGGCGCCCCTGGCAGCACGGACACCTACCCCTACGGGCTGCCCACGCCCCCGGAGATGTCCCCCTTGGACGCGCTGGAGCCGGAGCAGACCTTCTTCTCCTCCCCGTGCCAGGAGGAGCACGCGCACTCCCACCGCATCCCGCACCTGCCCCGGCCCCCCTACTCCCCGGAGTACGCCCCCAGCCCTCTACACTGCCGCCACCCGCTGGGCTCCCTGGCCCTGGGCCAGTCCCCGGGCGTCTCTATGATGCCCGCGGTCCCCGGCTGCCCCCCATCCCCTGCCTATTACTCCCCCGCCACCTACCACTCTCTCCACTCCAACCTGCACGCCCACCTGGGCCAGCTCTCCCCGCCTCCGGAGCACCCGGGCTTTGACGCGCTGGATCAGCTGAGCCAGGTGGAACTCCTGGGGGATATGGATCGGAATGAGTTCGACCAGTATTTGAACACTCCCGGCCACCCAGACTCCGCCGCGGGTGCCGTGGCTCTCAGTGGGCACACCCCCGTCTCTCAGATGACACCCACGGGCCCCACAGAGACCAGCCTCATCTCCGTGCTGGCAGATGCCACGGCCACGTATTACAACAGCTACAGCGTCTCCTAGAGCCAGAGGCCCGCCGCCCAGCCCTGCCTCCGCCCTGGGCACAGAGCACGTCCCGGATCTCCCTCCTGGGCCCTGAGCATACCGATCAGCGCTGTACTGCCGCCCCACAGGCACGTCTGCAGGAGGGACCCCCAGCGAACCGGCTCTGCAGATTCGAGGACCTTCTCCATCCCCTTTCTCCCCGGCCCCAGTCCCCGCAGCCTGCATTTTGAGTAGATTCCTTCAAATGAGTTGTCATGGGCTACACCTGGAATAAGGCCGGGGCGTTTTTTGAAAGACTACTGGTTCCAGGTAGAATTTTCACGGACCTCTCCTCCCGGTTCCCATCCCCAGAAATAAATGTGTAAAAAGCCCAGCAGCGTTCCCACCTGGGAGCCCTGGGCTGGGATCCGGAGACCAGGGACTCTTAGAGGGCTGGTGATACTCTCTGACTGGCCTCCCCCGCCTGCCAGCCTGTTCCTCCACCCCCCTCTGCAAAGTGGGGGACAGATTTAACAGCGAAAGTCCCTTCTGCTCCAGGGTTTTCTGATTTAGGATTCTCGAAAGGCTCAAAGGAAAGGAAAGGTGGGCCCCGGAAACTCGTTGAGGTATAATCTGGGATAATTTCGTGTGCACAGCCCACGGACACAGGGCTTTCTGCACTTGCACTGCCTTCCAAAGTGATCCTAGTTGTCCAAACGAACCCTTCCAATTTGAGAAAAAAAACAAAAAAACACACTGATCTTGATTTGGGGAATTAACCACTAGGATAGACTGAGTCACTAAAAATGAGACTGTATTCAAGCTGCATTTTTAAAAATATACTTTTTAGACAAGTTCTTTTTTCTTTTGTTACACATTTTAAGAGAGTATACACAGCCTGGATATATACAGTCAGGGTGTAAGAGATACACAACATGCACACGCCTCGTGCACACCCTTACACGCATCCCTGGGTGGCCTAAATCAGATACTCTTGTTGACATTGGCAATTCTTTGTCAACTCCCTCTTCCTATTGACCCAAAGAGCAGGGAACCTAAAAAGAATTTCCTCCAATCTGAATGTGTTGGTTTCTTGAGCAAAATTTCAGCAGCGGGGGGGGCCCCCCCCCTCCCTACCCCTCCCCCCAGCAAATGCAAAGGGAGCTTTCTTCCCTCTGTCTCCATCTCCCTCTCTCCCTTTCCTGAGCTTTCTTTTTCCGTTGCTCTTCCTCCACCCTGAATTGGCCACTAATTCAAAGGTCCCCTGACTTGAAAATTCCAAGCTCGATTCCCATGGCTGGGATGGGAATCCCTCCTGCTCACCAGCCCTGCTGGTCCTTTAGGTAACATCTTCAGACAGTACTTCAGAACAGCTTCTCCCCTACCCCTTCAGGTGCTTACTTCCCAAAGAACAGAAGCCCACTGTGATTCGGAAGGTGTTTCTGAGCCCTGACCCCGCCCCCAGAACATTTCTATCCTCTCAGACCTCCTTTGAAGGAACACACCTAACAGGGAGTGAAAAGGCCATGGTTGGTCTTTGGATGTCTGCATATTATTGCCTGTATGAAATATGTAAGTGTTTTATATATTCTCCTCTTAGTTTTACCTTATATTTTGTATTGTTGAAAGATCCTTTTCTTTTTCCTTCTAAGGAGTCCGATTGTGAAATCGCTTATAAGATATAATTAATCTTTATGCTATTCCTGTATATAATGTTTGGTAATAAATAGTAAACCATTGACAATATGATTGACTGGTGCAGACCAGAACGTGTATCAATAATCTTGTAAAACATGATCACAGACGTTAAGCTAAACTGTTCCTTTTTTTCTTTTCTTTATTTTTATTATTATTATTTTTTTTTTTTGGCGAAAAACTACACATGCTTTGGAACGGTTGTAGATATTGATTTGTCTAAAATATTTAATTTAAATAAACCTTTTTGTACCGTGACCATGCTATCATTTGAAATCAAGTTGTGCCAAAAAAGAACTGTTTCTGAGTGAAGCAGAGATAGAATGCCCAGTGCTTCTTAGAGTATTGGTCCAAATGTTTTCCACATTAACTTTTTTTTTAATTTCACAAAGTTGTTATTTGTAGGCTTATTTTATTTTTGAGTTATGGGGAAGAGCTAAAGGCTGGTATCACACATTGAAAACAGCGTTGTTATTAATAATGATGAAAGAAAAGGCTGATTTATAGCCTACTGGCAGGACAGTTTTCTCCTTAGGATATCTTCCCCGCTTGTAAAATAGAACTGCGTGTTATCTCAAGATAAGAAGTAAGTTCTGCCAGGTGATTGCTTACTTAAGGCTACCACAATTTCTTTCTTTTTGAAATAGTCTTGAAAAATACCTGGGTTGCCCTCTCCGCTATGTATTTACCAGATGTGGCAATAACAAGGCATGTGGGCTCTCGAAATTGGATGGAATGCTGTGAGAAGGCAGGGGAGCACACGGATCAGCAATTAAAGGATGTAACAACTTGGGAGGTTTGGGATTAAAACGCCAGCCAAAAAGTGCCTGGAAAAAGCGGAGGATTGCTCAGTCCGTGCAGGTCACCCGTGTCTGGCTTCTCTGTGTGGCGAAGCGGTTGGAACTTGTTCGAGTCGTGGCCAGTCTTGTGTTTCCCCGGGGCCCTCGGAGCCAAGGAGTGCGTCTTGGGAGAGCCCAATATGTTCCTCCTTCAATGTTGATCACAATCTATAGTCATTATGTTAATAGCACTTTATAGGTGTAGGGAGCTTTACAGAAGGTTTTATGGGCCATTTCTCATCTACAGCCCCAGGTGGGGACTTGTCATCCATCCACCCCACTGCGTACGTAGCCAGGGACACTGGGGTCTGGGGTGGGGAGGTGATACTGTGCAGCTCCCCTCTCCCTACGTGGCCAGTGGTGGCTGGGGTTTCACCCCTTGTTTTCGCGTACATTTGTGGATGGCATCAGCCTCCCAGTCTCACACCGAGGGGCTTTGCCCTCCACCATGGCATGGGGTTACTGTACACGCAGTCCAATGTGTACCTATCACAGCCCAGGGAGAGAGTGGACAGAGAGGAAATCACAGGGCCAGAAATAGACCTGATTTGAACTCGAAGCCGCCCAGGCCCACCGCAGTGGACAGTGGCTGTTGCAGGGTCACAGCTGGCTGGAGCACTGGCCCAGCAGCATCTGCCTAAGACATTGGCCCTCGCCGGTGCCAAAGGGGCGTATTTCATTCCAGGACACACTGCGGGAGAGGGGGCGGTGTCCCTGCCCCTGGGAATGCAGGAAACGAGCAGGCGACAGGGCCGCTCTTTCACTTTTGCCTCAGCTCCCCCTGTGACGGTGGTGTCCCGTGACGAGAGCACTTGTTGCCTTGCCTGATAAGAATTGATGGCTGTAAAGAGTTATAAGTTATGTTTCTAAATGGTAGATGTTATCCTTTCACTCTTTTCCTTAAGATCCTTCAGCGCCTGCTGGCCACCTGTGGCTCACAGGATGAGCGTGGCGGCGGGCTCATGGGAAGCCGACCAGGGTCAAACCTCCCTGTCCCCTCGCATCTGCAGGTTCCTGGGAGGCACCTGGTAATGTAGTCACATGGCCATTTGTTTTTATAAACTTTGCAAAAAGGAAGATTTCTTAGTGTTCTTTCCTTTAAAAGCCCTCCCTACCCCCACTCCCCACCCCAGTTGTACAAGCTTCAGGACCCCAACACCTGCCTTGGTCGCATGTGAGTGCCCATATGGTAGAGCCTCTTCTTTTCAGAAGCCTCTCGTGGTCCCCATCACCCTCCCCCACATGGTGTACCGACTGCACAGAAAACCTATTGTTCCCTGGGAATGCTGTCTTTTTCCATACTTTCGTGTTTTCCCTGACCTGGGAGACCCTCGCTTCCATGATCTATCTAATGACATCCTACTCTCTGTTCCAGTCCAGCTCAGATGCCCCTGACCCTGCTGGGAGGGGGGCTAGGAGGGCTTGAGCGGATCTGGTTTACGGCACTTAACAACTGGTGTCAGAATCATTTACCCATCACATAGTAGCTGTTCAACAAGTAAATGAACAAATGAATAAAGTAATCATTTGAAATGGCCTGAGGGTATTCTGCCTGGTGGGGAAAACCTGAAACCTTTGGGTTCCTAATTTTCTGGCCCATCTCTCTGGAAACCAGGACTCTGGAGCCTTTGTGTGTGTGGTCCCCAGGCGCTGAGGCTGGATGTGATGCAGCCACACTATTCACCCTCGCCTGCTAGAGTGTAGCCTGGAGCAGAGAGGGCAGTGGGTGGGCACGAGGGCACCAGAGGGGAATCTTCTCATCCATCCTTTCAGCAGCAGAATAGAGCTGAGGACAGATGACCTGTAACATTTGTAATTGTCGACTTTTTCTTTTTGAGAAGGTTGTGCTCTTGATTTCATCCCAGTGAAGGGGATTTGGATGGAAGGAAGGAAAAGAGATAGTTATATATATATATATATATGTATATATATATATATATATATATATATATATATATATATATATATATATATCTACCTATCATGCATCTTTCTGTCATCATCTATCCATCTATTCATTTACCCATCTCACTCACCCATCAACTATTCCATCCATCCATCCTACCTATCTATTTATCCATCATTTTTTGGTATTTTAATTCTCAAAAGAGAATGTCTTTGTAGAAAGTTTAAAAAAATAACATTATAGGTTAAAATAAGTTGTCTATTGTCCACATCTTAGAGACATTACTGGTATTTTTTTTTTTTTTTACATCTATCTAGTTTTTTTTTTTTTTTTTGTCTAGTTCTACATATACATATGTTTTTTTTTATAATAAACATTTTTTCATTAACATTAAATAAACATTTTCCTATGCCATTAAACACCATTAAAACACCATTTCTGCAAAAGGTGTTTTCTTTCCAGTAGAAAAATCACTATGAAAAAAAAATTGGAAAAAGATTTCCCACTCCATTGACATACATATTTTTAACCTACTTATGTTTACATACCAACCTCCCCAGTCTTGCATTGATGTGTTCAGAATTGGACCTGATGTGCTCACAGTGCAGATATAGATCCATTGGCATTTGTTTTGATAGTGGTCATTGTGACAATGGCACCCTACTTTGGTACATTAACGTAGCTTTGTTTGCTTGACCATCCCCTTGCCATTAGATAACTGAATTGTCCCATTTTAATTTTTTTTCATTATAAGTAACACTGCAGTGAACATTTTCTTGCTTCCATTGTTAGCTGGATTCCCAGCAGGGTATCACTGGGTCTGAGCATTCAAACAAGTTTCCCAAGAGTCTCAATTGGTAGTTGAGGCACAAAATGACTTCATTCAATACCCAGAATGAAACGACTCCTTTCTTAGCTGGGAGAATTAACCCCCGGAAGACTATTTATAACTGACTTACCTCTGACCAGGTTCAAGTGGCTTTACTCATGGCGGCTTTGTCTTTCTGAAAACCTATTATGTGCTTATTGCTGGCTTCCCCTGGCAAATTGAGAATGTTCCTTTCCCTAAACACCACGGTGGTTGGCACGCCATTCCCTGAGCATAACTTATCAGTGGGGGGAAGGGTTAGTCTGTCAGTTAGCAAGACAAGACCTTTGGTTCCCCAGCATCCCTGGAGCACTCCATCGGGGCTGCTGGCTGCATTCACAGGGCTCAGAGCTCTCGCGGCAGCAGAACAACATCTGGAAATAGCCCAGACCTGTGGACAGAGTCTGCCTTACCCCCTCACTGGATTTTGATTGGGACTTAGGTAA